TGCAGATGGTAAATATGATATTAAAAAAGCCCGATATCAAAGTATAGATGACCAAAGTCAATCCGAATCTTTGGTTCTCAATAATAATTGTAAAAAAAAGAATAATAAAAAAAGTAATGCTGGTTATTATAGCGCAGTTACTGCGGGTGGTTCGTTTGATCCTTCCGATAATAGTTCATTTGATTCTTCTGGTGATGGTTCGTTTGATCCTCCTGGTGATGGTTCGTTTGATCCTCCTGGTGATAGTTCGTTTGATCCTCCTGGTGATGGTTCGTTTGGTCCTCCTGATGATAGTTCGTTTAGTCCTCCTGGTTTGTTTGATCCTCCTGGTAATGGTTCGTTTAATAATGGTTCATTCGGTCTTCCTGATGATGGTGATTTGTTTAATCCTTCTAATGATGGCAGTTCGTTTGGTATTTTTATACCTTTTAATAAACAAATTTAGAAACCTATGATGAAGAATTTGGTGAAAAAGAATGGGGTGAAGAAGAATGGGGTGATGACGAAGATAGTGGTTGGGATGATGATGATGACACTGAGAAGATACAAAACCTAAAAAATAAAGATTTTAAATTAGCGTGGAAGAAAGATAGTAAACTAGAAAAGACAAAACGTGGTCGATACATGACGGGAAAAATTCCAAGATCAAGTTATTATGAAAAATATGGACCGACTGGTTTATTTACCAAAGCAGCCGTTAATACTAAAAAAATCACAAATTTTTTTAAAATTAATGATCAAGCTGCAAATGTACAACTCAATGAAATAGAACAAATTTCAAGCGATTCGGAAGATGAAGTTAATAATAAAAATACTTACCAAATTGATGAAAGAATACGAAATCTAAAAGAACAATTAGAAAAACAATATAATCAGATGACTGTCACTGAATATAATAATAAACGAGCTGTCTTTGAATATCTTACCCGCTTAAATAATGGAAAAATGCATGCTAGTTTAGAAGCAGCTAAAATAGTTTTTGTTGATGGTGGTCCATGGAAAGCACGACGCATCCGATATTATGCAAACTATTGGTTACTTAATAACAATTTTCCGGTATCTAGACGTGGAAAACATCAAAAAACTATTAGATTGATTGATGATGAAGATATAGCAGAAAAATGCCAAACCTGGATTCATAAGCAAAATTTTAAAGCCACGCCAACTACATTTAAAGAATTTGTTGAAAAAGAGCTATTACCTAATATTGGAGTTACTAAGAGAAAATCTATTCATTTAACAACCGCAATGAGATGGCTTAATATCCTTGGTTATTCATTTCAACAACATCATCAAGGAATATATTATGACAGACACGAACGAGATGATGTTTTACAATATCGTAAAATATTTTTGGAAAAAATGTTTGAACATGAGAAATATATGTCCAAGTATGAAGGTGAAACAATGAAACGTATATATCCTAATTTGCCTGAAGGAGAAAAAGAACGAATTCTTGTAACTCATGATGAATGCATTTTTTATTCTAATGATGGCAAACGTGGAGTATGGGCTAAAAATGGAGAACTACCATTACGAAAAAAAGGAAATGGAAGATCAATAATGGTTAGTGAGTTTCTTACTGAGATTGATGGACGTTTGTGTTTACAACAAACCAATATATTGCAAAATCCAAATATACCTGAAGAAGCGCGGTGTTATTTAAAACCTGGTAAAAACCAAGAAGGTTATTGGACAGCTGAACATCTTCTTGAACAAATCAAATGTAAAGCCATTCCTATTTTTGAGACGTTGTATCCAAATTGCATAGCAGTTTTTGCCTTCGATAATAGTTCAAATCATGCTGCATTTGGAAAAGATGCTCTAGTTGCAAGCCGAATGAATTTGAATCCTGGTGGCAAGCAACCAATCATGCATGATACTTATTTTGGACCAAATCAACAGCCACAATCAATGGTATTTTCAGCTACTTATTTTAATAAAAAACTTCGAGGTCAGCCTAAAGGAATCAAACAAGTATTAATAGAGCGAGGAAAATGGCCATCTAAAGGATTAATATTAGATTGTAAAAATTGTAAAGAAAAAATTCAAGATTCTTCAAGAACTTCTTGTTGTGCTCGTCGAGTAATATTTTTAGAACCCGATTTTCTTGCACAAAAAGGAGCAATTGAAGAATTAATTGAAAAAGCTGGTCATAAATGTATTTTTTACCCCAAATTTCATTGCGAACTAAATTTCATTGAAAGATATTGGGGAGCTTGTAAAAGATATACTCGGGAAAATTGCAATTATTCATGGAATGGATTACAGCAAATAGTACCTAAAAGTCTTGATTCTGTACCATTAGTTACGATTAGAAAATTTGCAAGAAAGTGCTGGCGTTATATGGATGCTTATAAAAAAGGTATTAGTGGAAAATTGGCAGAGTATGCTGTCAAGAAATACAAATCCCATAGAAGAATTCCAGATAGTGTGTTAGAAGAATTAAAAATTAATTAAATGATTATCTTTTAACCAATAAAAATTTATCCACGTGATTAAGTCACGTGAAG